TTATTTGATTCATCTTAATCTCTATCTCCAAAGACATGGATTGATAGCATCATTAATTAAAATATAAAAACTTATTTTATTGCTTTATATAAGGATGCATTATCGAATATAAGATGAATAATATAATTTTTATATCCCTAACTTCAAAAAGAAGAAGGCATAATGATGAAAAAATCCATCTTTTATTTCTTGCTCTTAGAAATAATTAACACTCAATCTTCACATACTTGTCCTACTGGTTGTTCAGTATGCAACGGAGCTAGTGGCAATTGTAGTGCTTGCTTATCTGGATATTACTTGGTAGGGTAAAATTGTAATCAATGCCCAACAAATGGTTGCCCACTATGTCAACTACCATGTTAAGCTTGTGTAACAAATAGTTCAGATTGTTAAACATGCAATGACTAAGCTAATTAAGAGGGTGTTACCTGTTAATGCAAACCAGGATATATTATGAACACCTCAAATTACTTTTGCGATTAATGTTAATTTCCATGTGTCACATGTTAAACAACAGTAAATTATTGTTTAACATGTGCTGCAACCTATACTATAGATTCGAGTACTCATACATGTTCATGCTTGACTAATCAATATGAAGTAAATGGTACACCAAAAACATGTCAAAATTGTACGAGTCCATGTTCAACTTGTACATTATCTGCAACTAATTGTGGTTCATGTGTAACTGGATTAAATAGAAATCTATAAACTAACTAATGCGTTTGTGATGATGGATATTATGAAAATACTACATGTTAACCATGTTAATAACCATGCATTAACTGTAATTCATTATCAGTTTGTACATCATGTAAAGATCCGACTTATTAATCAGGATCGTCATGTATTTGTTAACAAACTTATTTTATGAATGACTCTTATATGTGTTAAAATTGTGTTGCCCCTTGCTAAAATTGTATTTCAGAATTGTTATGCGAATCATGTATATAAAATTATTATATTTCTGGAAATAATTGTTTATAATGCACTTGGCCATGTTACAATTGTGTTGATATTCCTACAAAATGTACATCATGTGTTGATTCAAATATAACACCAATCGATAATGTATGTAGTAGTGATGGTTGTCTTGATGGATAATTTATGGATGCATCATTAAATTGTCAACCTTGTATTCATCCTTGTCTTAAGTGTTTAACAAATGGTAATCATTGTTTATAGTGTGCAAATACATTTGAAATGAGTACTACTACTCCAAATACATGTGTTTGTCCTGTTAACAAATATCTAGTAGTAACTAATAATCCTACTGAATGTCTGTCTTGTACTTAACCATGTGATACATGTTCAGGAACAGCTGATCATTGTTTAACATGTATAGATAGTATTAATTAAACTGTTGATTCATCATATGAATGTAAATGCAATTCTGGTTTTATAATGAATGGAGTATATTGTGAAGCTTGTCAAAATCCTTGTCTATAATGTTAAGGAACTACTAATTACTGTACTGCATGCAAAGATATAGAACATTTTATATCTAATGGATAATGCATTTGTAATCCTGGTTACATAAATGATAATGACTATAATTGTATACCTTGTTAAGATGAATATTAACTTTTTTAAGGATAATGTATATGTGAAATAGGATATTATTATATTGATTTTCTTTGTGAATAATGTAGTTAGAATTGTAGTAAATGTAACTCAAAATATGAATGTACCGAATGTATAGATTAATATTATTTATAAAATACTTAATGTTTAAAATGTCAATTTCCATGTTTATAATGTTTTGATATTTAAACTTGTGAAAAATGTACAGATAATTATTTCATTGATGATAAGGGAAGATGTATATAATGCATGTAAAATTGTGAATATTGTATTGATTCAA